AGGAATTATAGAATTAAGCAAAGTATTTAACAAAATTTTATCTAGCCCAATTTTATGTTGAGATTTAACAAATTAAAATTAGATCTTCTCTTTTAAGCTTTTAAGATCATTTCTAATAATTCCTTTTTAAACAACAATTTATAATTTAAGGATTTTTAAACAAGAAAAGCACTTAACAAATATAATTAGATCATTAATGATCAAATAATTACTGAACTGTTCTTTGTATCATTTAGGAATTGAGCTCTGAAAAATCCGAGAAAATTTCAGAGAGTTGACTTAAACATGGAGAATTTAATAAAAAATTAAATCCATCCATGCTTTATATTTAGGAAATTTTATTTCCCAAATTTTACTTCACTTGCAAATTAAAGAACACTTAATATAAATTCTATTAATAATTTATTAAATAATTTATAAATCCTGAAACAAAAATCAGGATGTGACAAATCCACACTCTCACACACACACACTAAATCCGAGTCAAACACTGGTGGAGAGATGAATCGAGGAAGCAAGGCTCAAATGAACAAGAGAGAGAGAGCAAGCCAAGGGCACAAATGATTGCAAATGGAACCAGCAGCCCTCACAAGTGAGGGGAGGAGGGTATTTATACCCACAGCACAAATCTGCTCGTTGGTGTGCAATAAAAGTGTTTTTCGGAACCTCCAAAAACATTTTTCGGACCTTCTGAAAATTCCAGATCTGATAAATAATCGAAGTCAACGCAATTTTCGAAACTTCCGAAAATTTTCAGAAAGCTCACAAACGGTTCTGTGTGTTTTCGGAACTTTCGAAAATTATTTTTGGAACTTCCGAAAATTTCCAGAACACTCAAACATGGTTCTGTGTATTTTCGGAACATCCGAAAATTTCCGGAACACTCCAATAAGAGAAATGCTTCCAAGAAAAATAGATTTTGAGCACACGCATCACTCCTTATATGTCTATGCATCAACCCTCTTAATAGTACGGCTTTCCTACGACACAATGCGAGGTAAAAGATACAATATACCATTTGATCATTGCCGCATTGCATCGTGATGTCGCATTTACGGGATATGCATTGTATTACAACACGTCAAGGACATAACAACCTTCACATTTACTTGAATAAAAATGTTAGTCCTCTCTAATCGCATTGTAATCAATCATCAAAATCGTTAGGGGCCTAGATGCACTTTCACCTTTCAACAAAAGTTTGTTGCAGAACATGGTTTGTGACGAGATTTCGCTACATCTTGACGAAAGGGCCTCATCAAGGAAGCTGAGATATGTATAGTGGATCAAGTGCCTCGCTAGAAGTGTTTAAATATTTCAACTTTTTTACTACAACCACACAGATGTCATCCTAAAATAGTGACAAAAAAATTGGATGTTACATATTTCTTGTAGCCATCTCTCATGCACTATTCCCACATCTCATGTGCTGTCCTCATGCCACTCATTGTTTAATTTGTGTCATCAAATATATTTCCTTATGTATTATATGGTAAAATGTTTCTGAAATAAATAAAAATTACAGTAGCAACTATAGTACTCACAAGCCATTGTTTGTACCATCATGAATCAAGGCATGTTCCATTGTGTATACATAGTAGTATGGTTAATTAATGAAGTACAGTTCAACTAGATATGTCGCTATCTTTCACTAGATGCGATGTCTTGTATATGGAATTTATGTGTATTTCGTATTCTTTAAAAATCATGTGCCACCACGTGTGCTGCTTGGAGCAGCAGATCAATGATAAAATAAAGCTAAATATATGGTAAATTAAAGTTGGATGCCATTATGATCTTGTACTACTTGATGATCATCACCACTTTCCACACTTGAGGCTTCAAGACCTCTTTTGCATATGTGCTTCATCACCCAACATAGACCTCCGGCTGTTAGCCCTGAAATTGGCATGAATATTATGTATTTATTTATGTATATTGTGAAAATGCAGGAAGTAGAAAATCAAGACTAAGAAATAAATTCTAGACCGAAGGGCTTGACGCTTTAATGGAATGAAAACTAATTAAGGCTTAAAATCCAAATTTGAGGGCTTGACAATATTTTAGAGCAATCAAGACTAAAGTATAAAATCAAAATTATGAGCTGTAATATTACAATACAAAAAGAGGGGGAAAATATGGCTGGCACATCCAGACTATATATGGTTATCCACTAGAAAGATATGTAATACTACCTCCGTTTTCTAATAGATGACGCCGTTGACTTTTTCTCACATGTTTGACTATTCGTCTTATTTAAAAATTTTATGCAAATGTATAAGATATAAATCACACTTAAAGTACTACGAGTGATAAAACAACTCATAACAAAATAAATTATAATTACGTAAATTTTTTAATAAGACGAATGGTCAAACATGTGAGAAAAAATCAACGACGTCATCTATTAAAAAACGGAGGGAGTATATATATGGGATAATTGTGCTCTTACTCTTACTATCGATTTTAATTGTGATTTTATTCCTACTTTTTACGATTTACGAATTGACCCCTGCATTTCTTAAACGAAGTCACCGATTGTCCATAGTTTTGATGTTCATTAGGTGGGTCCCACAATATTATCATAAAGAAATAGAGATGAGAAGAAAAAAATGATTCAGAAAATATGGAATCACCATTTTACCCTCGGAGTAACATCGTAACCGGTCGGCGACCGCGTTGGGCTCCTGTTCTTCCCGATCCCCATCCGGGCTCCAGCCATCCCCAAACAACAGGAGGGCAGGAGGGGTGTGGGGGGGGGGGGGGGGGAGGGGATAGAGTAGGCGGCGGCGGCGGTGGTTAGTAGGTCCAGCGAGCTGGCGCGGGTGCGCAGCAAGGCAAGCAAGCGGCGGCGGGGGTAGGCCCGAGCCGGCGTGCCGAGAGCCAAGCAGGTGGCGGCGGGGTCGGCTCCAAGGCGTGAGATGCGAGCAGCATGCGGCGGCGGCTTGGCGATGTGAGCAACAAGCGGTGGTAGGATCGTATTCCTCCTGTCCTACTGCAGGTTGGAGTACTAGACGTGGCTGCTGTAGTTACTCCATTTCTTGTCTTGTGCGGTGATCTGCTGCAGCTATTTGCTGCCTGGTCGTGGCTGCTATTGCGCTGCTGCTGACCTTGTCTTGTACTAGTATTTGGACTACTTAATCAAAATAATGCTCGTGTCAAATCTGTAAATGAATCACTTTCTGCTAAAAAATGATCAAATTTTGATTAAGGGTAACATCTTTCAGATCAGATACTAGTACTATGCAATTCAATAAGGTCTTCTCAGATCAGAGTTAGGATGCCACCAATAAGTTAACACTGTCAAAGCAAACGTTAAAAGTTGGGGCAAAACTCTGGTTCGTTTTAAAATAGTAGGGGTAAATTCGCAAACCCTAAAAAGTGAGGGTAAAATCACAATTGAAATTTAAAGTAGAGGTAATAATGCAATTGCCCATATATGTATATATATCGTAGTATATATGTACCTCTGAAGTAGGCCTTCGTGGAAACGAGTTGCCGTGTTAACGAGATCGTGGAGGGGTCCAACATGGTTCTTGTGGCGGGCCTCCTGTGAACGTTTTTCCAAGTACTCACCAACTTCACCGACTTCTACATGTGCAACAACCGTAGCTGCCAGCACTAGCGACACCATTAGTGCAGCAGAGATGTGCACATTTGTTGGCATCATCCTTGTCTCACTGTTGCATCGATCTCCTCCAACCCAATGATCGATTTTTACTCTCCACAACCTCAATATATAAGTACGAATATGCATCGTTTGTTGATATATATATCTATATATATATGTCCCTCTCTATGGCATGCCACTTTTCGCGTACTACATGGATGGTTAGGCACGACTTGCGCAGCTTGCACTTATCTAAATTAGAGAACAGGTTATCCTAAATATGGAAATTTTAATCCAGTGGACACGATGCAGTGCCATAATTGCTAAAGAAAGGAAAACAATAGGACGCTACAGTACTTGTGCTGAACCCTAAAAATAAGATTAATTGAAACATTCGGATGATCCAATGTGCATCATATTTAACCCAGTAGAGAAAAATCTACACCACTCAACCAAGTAAAAAAACAATATATGCAATACAGAGAAGCAGCACTCCCGTGCATGGTGCCTACACACGAGTATATTTGTATCGATCTCGCAGAACATACTACCAATAGTTAATTAGTCAATGGTGGCATTGTTTGGCAGGGAAGGCCTAGTGGTCGAAACCTCGATGCTGCAGGAGGATCACCATTCATCAATGTTGTTTTTTGAAGGTCTTGGAATCGAACAGCTACCACGGTGAGTATATATTATTAGGGTTTCTACATTCGTCGACGTCTTATTTTCTCTACGCCAGGTCGCCAGCCTTAGAGCATCACCAAGAGAATGGCTAAATCACATCCCCAAAAATCTGTTTATGGGAATCCTAATTAGAATTTGAGGTGTGAAAATAGTTCTCTTTCCAAGAGATTAGGTAAAATTAATTCCCTAAATTAAACAAAAGATGGGCACATACAAAACTACCAACATAAATTAGTTGTTCCTCATCCTTCCATGCCATGGAATCCAGGGTACATGATGGCCCGCCCCTGTACCGCGATAGAGCTTGTGCCCCTGCGTCGCCGCCAACCCCTCCTTCCGAACCTTCGCCATCGCTCTGTCCATCTCCTTTCTCTGCCCCACCGCCCACTGGTACCCTACCTTCCCTAGTGTCTCTTCATTCTGAACTCTGTCCTCGCCGTCATCCACTTCGTTCCCCGTAGAAATAAACAAGGAGATGAGCATTCAGCTCCCACTACTGTATGGCATTCAGCAGCAGCAGCAGTCTGAAATAGCAGCAGGCCTGCGCGCGCTAGCAGCAGCAACATTCAGTTCTCAGCATTCAGCATTCAATGGCTTTACAAATAAGGTCAGTTAGATCAATTTTTACATTAAACAGAGGTGATCATGTTTAGGCTAAGATCTTAAGTAATTAAGTCAAATTAAACTCCAACGCCGAACTCATCTACCATTTTTTTTTTTTTTTTTGCAAAATTATGGTTGACATGATTCAGCATGATGAAACGGACCGTTTTGATTGCTGAATTGGCACAAGTCGTTGACAAACATAGAATGCTATCTGCATCAACGGTTGGCTATAAAATGATAAAAACCATTCTTCGAAAAAGAGAGAAAAGTTGCTGTAACCCTATCGATCATGATATTAGTTTAAGTCAATAATCCAATCATGCTAAGCTGTCAGCGTAGATTAATAGAAGCTACCAAAATTCATCAAGCATGACGAAGTGCAGCAAAACACCTCTTAGGAATAGCTAAACAAAAGTGTTACCCATGCATTGCATGTCTAGGTGTCACTAGCTAGTCTACCGTATTTGAATCTAATAAAACTAAGCCATTAAGATCCACATCCCTTATAATGTGCAAAACGATACAGCTTTGTTTCAGACATGAAATCTGCTTTGCCAGTGACCTGTGAAAAAATATGATAACAAAATAAATAATGTTAAGATTGATAAGCATCACACTTGATGAAACTCATAATTGATACATCTCACATGTCATTTGATGATAAAATTGAGTCATTTTTTCCTCAAGGAAACACAAGTAATAAGTGCATTGAATTAATTTTAGTGAGTTGGAAAAAATTAATATACAGGCAGGGAAAGTTACTTTCTTGGGATAATGCTCCAGTTCAATAATCTGCAAGTCAATTCAGCATACCTTGCGCATTGAAGCATGTGCCATATAAAACACGTTATGTGTTCAAATAAAATCGTTAGGATACAGTTGTTATAGACTTGAAGTGTCTAATCATGTATTGACAAGTCCATATGGTTTTCCAAGTTCAATTTCCTTCAAAAAAAGAAAAGGTAGATGCTGCATGCTTTTATTTTTTTAGTTCTTGTTCAATATAGAAGAGTGAATCTTGAAAAACTTTATAAGCTAGAAATTAGCATCAGGAGAACTTAATAAATGCAAGAATAAATTTCATCTCTACAAAATTAGTGAATTTTAACTCTTGAATGATGTTGAGCATGTACTTATATGCGCAAGAAGCATCACTGTAGGGCTGCAGTGCAAAATTACTTAAAGGGTCTAGTCTCTCACCCAGCTATCCTAAAGATCTCCATATTCTAAAGGCAAGTTCCTAAAGATGATCAACAGGGAAACACTAATCAACTATCTGATTACAAGTAATAACTATATAATTACTCTTTAAGGCACAATTTTAAGATCACTTATATGCGCAAATTATGGTAAAAGCCAATGACTGGCAATTAATACCTGGATGAGATGGTAGGCCAGATTTTACTGGGTCACCATTGTTACACCATTGAATCTACGAAGCAAATGTTTACATTTCTTAACTATCTGCAATATATAATAGAAACATAATCAAGAAAAGGAGTTTTAAGGTCTTACTTGTGCACATGGCCATGCAATGATACTTTTAAGTGCCTCAGCCATCTTCATCCCAGGTGGGCGTAGCAACGGAGCCTCTGGTTTCAAAACATCATTCACAAACACCTGATACCATTCTGATCCAAGTGGCACGCCCCCAACAAATTTGGATCCAGAACTTGTTTGAAGAGTAGCCTTGGCTACTGGAATATGTGGCCGAGTAGTTGAAAGCAACAAAACCTCTTTCCCACCCTAAAATGAAGGTAAAATGGATGCTTATTCAACTACCATGCTACAAGGATGGACATGCGTAAAAATATTTTATGGCAAAATAACATAAATGACCTCGTTATTCGTATCTTCTTGTTGTCCATGCATAGTTACCCTCCTTAACTCCCCCTGTGCATGAAATAAGGATAATGTGACAAGTTCAAATTTATATGCATATACAAGCATAAACATAACAAAAGAAAAGGAAGGCGAACATTGCGCTTAATCTGACTTCCAGCATCATTCCTTTTCCTACCATAAGGAATTTTCCTTTGTCCATACATCATCTTTTGTACTTCCTGTTTCAAATATTAAGCACAATATGAAAATTTCTGTGGATTAAATGTGGGGGACATATGTACTAGAAATGATTACTTTTGTAGATTTTGAAATAGCAGCTAGGCTCTGAAGTAATAAATCACCATTTAAAAGTCAAATTAAATTCAAAGCAAGTTAAGAGAAATGAAAAAGGCAATGTTCTACACAGGGAACACAAAATTTTGAGGCTACACTTAAAAGGTAAAGCATGATGCAGTGCTCCAAAGTTTACCTCTTAATACTTTCCCCAGAAAAATGATGATTCCTAGTTCTCACTACATATGTCCCCTTAATTGTTACTATATCACATAATAGAGTATCAAAAAGGAAAGACAACCAGCTTCTGAGGATGTCGATGCTTAGAAGTAACCTCCTTGGTCTTCCCGCAAGACAATTTCTGTTGTACCACCATCTCCTTTTGCAAAGTCTACAAAGAAAAGGGTATGTGACATGTCAAGGAAAATATGAAACAGAACAATTCAGGAAAGGAAAAAGAAAAGGAGAAAGGCCATCACATTGCATAAAATATTATTGTCAGCTACAATTGAACGAAGACCACTCTCAGAAGATTCACATATTATACCCTTCAAAAATATGTAAACAAGTTATGAATATTACCATTTTTTTAGATAATAAATATTAGAAGATACTAAACAATAAGAGGGTAGAGATGTAAACCTTCGCTGATGACTTGTCGTGTTGTTGCTTGCTATCAGCCATTTGCTGAGACTGAAAAGCTAAAAAATTTTGTTTCAGTTCTAATATTTCTTGTTCCATTCTTGCCAATTTCACTTGGGTGCCTTTCATTTCATCCAAATGCTCTAGCTGAAAGTTCTTCTCAATTTCTGCACCAAACTCTGGTTGAAGCTTGGTAGATGGAAAGCACGGTATTTTAGAACTTTCTGTGCTTTGAATCGTTGCCTAAATCAGTTTGAAGGCATGTTTAAATCATGTCAAGCATTGATGGTTGTTACATCGACCAAAATCATGAGATTAAATTAAATAAAAATCTTGCTATTGTGAAATCAAGTAAAAAATGCAATAAGCTTGATGCGTAGCAAGTAATTTCTTTGCAGACAATGTGATGATATTTTGTTAATTACTAGCCATAGGCTGAATAGCATGGGTCTCAGAACTATATATTACTCTGATCAGAATCAATATTTATAGAAGAAAAAGGCACTTTTTAATAAATATTGACTAGGTTGTAAAAAATGTGTTCATATAGCAAGTGAGCCCTGTGGATTTCATCCAATACAAGCATAATCTAGTCCAGGAGCATAGGAAGAAGTAAACCTAGAAATACTGCCTGTTGCATGGAGCTACACGCTGCAACATGCATAAACAAGAGGTGGGCATTGACTAGACCAGACTGGATATACATATGTGAATTATATATTCATAACAGATGGATAACATGATAAGCATGTGGGTTGGTGAGGCATGGTGGCTGGCTTTACAATAGTTGGAAATAATTATAGTAGAGAATAAAATAAAAGGTCTGCATGCACTTGCCATTTCTGACAGACTACAGGAGCTAGTTTGCTTCTTCTGAAAAATGAAGCCACCAAACAGATTCTCCCCCTTGTAGGTACCATTTGGAACAGATAAATTCTTCCAGCTCCTTTGGGGATCATTTCATATAAAATTTTAGTTTTCAGAAAGTTTCTGGCCAGAATGTTAAAGGCAATGCTGTTTTTCAAATGACTTCATCTGTTTACTTCAATTGCAAATACCAAACAAGCACCAGAAATCCTCCAGGAAACTATGCTCTGAGAAAGCAAAACATGGATAAAACAGCCCAAATTTTTCCAACTCAACTAACAGAACCATTAAAAAGAGCTAGAAAACAGTAAAACTCGGAACTAGAGCTTGCGCAGTCCATCACCCCAAGTAACTGTACAAACAAAAATTAGACAATACCAGTTTGAGAAGTAAGCAGTAAGCAGTTGTCCACAGATCCAATTCATTATTTTTAAAAAGAAAAAAAAACACACACACACAAAATTGATGTAGCAGTTCAAGTCCACCGCCAAATCTCCTAAAGAAAATGGGAATCAGAATGAAAACAAAGCACTAGTTTGATGCCGGTGGCCAATATAAAGTACTTAATCATTGTGATTCTTCTTGTACTCCTTCCTCTATTTCTTTATATGATTTAGTTTCTGCTTAATCATGGTGACTATAAAGGAAACCATAGCCATATGCATCACAGCAAAAACTCATGAAAACTTGGCCAGTGTCCCTTAAGACAAGATGAAACCATAAATTATTCAAGTACATACTTCTTACGGCACTAAAGGCTATGTACCTAACTAGAACAGAGTAAAAAAAAAAAATAGAACAACCACAACCCAGCCAACTGCAAGCAGACAAAAAAAAAAAAAAAGGAAGCACCTACTGCATGAGGCCATCAGGTGGAAACAACAGAAACTATTAAGAAGCAGAGTTATTAGGTTCTCTTAAGAGTTTGAAGGGCGAAGATGGTATACCGATTCCATGACAGCCTCAGACAGCTCCTTCTTGAGGTTGCTGACCTTCAAGTCCAGCGCCTGGGCCTTGGTTTCGTCAATGGCAGTGAGCGCTTTCTCCAGGTCCGTACCCACAAGAAGCAACAGCGCTTGGGTGAGGTTGGGGTAGGAGTCGCGCATTTTGTCGAACGCCTTGCCTGCGGTGGGCATGGCATCATGCTGGTTGGGTTGCCCGCCCGCGATGTTTGAATTGGCGTTGGCGCTTAGGTTTGGCGGTTGAGTTTGAGACACCCAGACATTCCTGGAGAGGTCGTAGAGGCGGCGGTCGTGCGCTTGGGTGGGCGGGCCATTCTTGGCGTCTCTGCCATGGCGGCGCATGAAGGTGCGCAACTTGTCGGCGAGCTTCTTATAGGTGAGGCGCTTCCTGTCGAGGCGTCCGTTGAGGACGGGGAAGAGCTCCGCGGCGGTAGGTACCTTGCCGTGCTCCTGGCGATGCGCCGCCATGGCCTCAAGGATGAGGACCTCGTCGTTGGGGCTCCACGTGCGCTGGAAGGGGAGCGGTCTTTTCTGCTGCTTGGCCGATGGCGGCTCGTGGGGCGTCGCCGTCTTCTTCTTCTTGGCTCTCTCCGGCGAGTTGACCGGCTCCGATGCCTTCTTCCTCTTGCGATCCGGCGGCGGCAGCGGCAGCGGCAGGGCCTCCTCCTCCTCCTGCGAAGGCTTGAGCGGCTTCTTCTTCTTCTTCTTCTTCTTCTTGTCCTCCCCGTGGGCGGGGACGACGGGGAGAGTGGGCGCCATTGCCTCTCCCTCCACTCGGCTTGCTACTCCCTTTTGTGTTGGGATGGACTACTCACTACTCCTACTATAGTAGTGGAAGGGTCGCAGGTCGCGGCCTCCCGCCTCCCCCTCCCCCTCTTGCGCGCCAATTTTACCCGCCTCCCGCGCTCCCGCCAAACCTTTTTTCCATCATTAAAATATTGTCATTAATATTTAACAGAGTTCAGCTGTATATTTATTTCCATCCCAATTTCCTAATTTTGTGGATCTATGGATGAAACCGCTCTTAAGGCTATCTTTGACGGGAATGAAAGAAGAAATTGATAATACATGCAAAACGATGTAAATCAGTAGCGCATTGTAAATTGAGTATTAATTATTTTAAACATGAAAATCAACTTTCCTATAGGTTTTTTTTTTACAAAAAGTATACATTATTTTTTCTTCTACTATAAAAGGAATAGCACTGGTCGGTCTAACATGCATGTGCGCCAACAGCCCAACACAAACTCCATCTAACTGCGCAAGGGGAAAAAAAAACCTGAATTGGAAGCCCACATGCACAAAAGTTGCTTCAATCCCAATTGCTTCAAAAAACCTAGTTTAGCGGTACTATTGGAGGTAAAAAAATAGGGACAGTCTATGTGTCACTAGGGTGATAAATTTTGTAAACGCACTAGAATCCCTGACCATCCGATGCGTGTGATCCCGCCCACGCGATCCCACCGCGAGTGGGTGTGCGGGTGCATGTTTTGTTTTTTCCCAGCGATCTGATTTTTTGGGTCGGATCTGTCTCTCAAACCCGTTTTGTTTTGGGCCAGCTTTTACCTCATTATTGAGACCTGGGCTAGCATTTGGCCCCGTATAGGGCACAAGGAAAAAAAAAGGAAAAAAAAAGCCCACAGCCTTTTAGTATTGGAGCCGTCACAGCTGAAACATGGCCCAGAACTTAGCGCAGAAAGTCAAAACACTTGGTTTGAAAATACTTGCCTCTTCCAAAATCTGGATTGATTTGAGTCCAAAAAGTCTCTCGTCCCATGGTTCTTATTAGTACTTCAAATATGTGATTAGTTCCCCCCGCCCCCCCCCCCCCCCCGCCCCCTTCTCTCTTATTTGATCCCAAACTGAATTGACCCACTGGGTTGTGTCTCATCGATGGAAATATCAATCTAATTTGACAATGTAGATGAATAGTAGTGGAGCATGGGGTTCTGCATATTGACAAATAAATAGCTTCCTGTTAGCCTTGGAGCATGCAGATTTTGCTCTTACTCTAACAAATTAAAACTAGTGTTGGCAACTTGTTGTGACAAGTCGACAAGCACGATCGCAACACCTAAACGCTTTGCGGTGATATAGAGTCGCCAACCAACTCGATCTAGCCAAAGGGCCAAATCAAGATGGGTTTTGCAAAAAGAAAAGCTAAACCGGCTAGCGGAGCCAATTTAGAGATCAAATCAGCCTCTAGGCCGATTTAGATCGATACGAGGATAACTACCCATCTCGTGGGCAAAACGGAAGGTTTTCAGGACAAACCTACCAAGAGGTGTCGCACTCTCGCAGCGGCGGCGGACGGTTTACAGCGCAAACCGACAAAGATGGACTAAAACTAGGGTAAAATAGAAAACATTGTAAAAGAACAATTCAAGTAGATTGTATTCGGGGGTTTTACAATGAACCGGCCTTGTCCCTTATATAGGGGTTGGTCTTGCCCTCTACAGGCCTCTCCACGTCCAACTCGGGATAGAAACCAAAGGAAACACGAAACCTGCCTTCCCGAGTAAGGAAACCCGGCACTTTCCAAACTTTGGTAATTTTTCCCTATTTCGTCCATAGGTGCCAAATTTAGGTGTAAACACATGCCCCCCTGCCTTTTTGGTGAACATACGTGAACCTAAAAGCATAGAACATATTATCTCAGGGCGATAATCCAATTACCGACCATAGGACTTCCTAAGCATCTTACCAAATGCTCGGGAAGTATTTCTTCAAGCTATCTCCCATTAATTGCTCTCTGAAAACACCGTCTTGAAGTGTCTTCATGTCCTTCAAAGTCTTCAAACGCTTGTCGATGACGTCTTCAAAATTGCTTCCCATCAAGGTCTTGTAATCTTCAACCGACAAGTCGTCTTGCTTGAAATACCGAAGAGAGCCAAGATTTACCTCAACTGGCAAAACGGCAATTTCAACAATGTTTTATTACTCGACTCGGCTTATCCATTAGCCTGAGCGTAGTAAAGAGAAGAACTCAACAACTTAATATCATAAGATTCGGTAAAACTCCTCACTTCCTTGGACATAAAAGAAGCTCCTTTAATGTTTGAGGAATATCGAATCTATGAACGATATGCTTCAAAATAAAGCCAATTACCTCCGCATAAGTAATATTCTCGAGCGGCACGGCTTCGGCTCACTTAGTGAAGTAACCCATTGCAACTAGCACGAACCAATGCCCTTTTGATGACGAAGGATAAATTTGACCAATGAAATCCAAAGCCCAACCTTGGAACGGACATGGTTTGATGATAGTATTCAATATAGCGATAGGCGCTAATTTGAACATTGCCGATCCGTTAACAAGCTTCACTCTCTCTATAGCATTTGAAACAATCATCAATTATTTTCGGCCAATGAAACTCCACTCTCCTAAGCAACCAATTTATCTTACGGCCGATTGATAAATTCCACGAATCCCTTCATGTACTACTCTCCTAGTAACTTTAGATTGATCATTATCTAAGTAATACTCCATCTATTTTTCGGCGATATAATATTTGAACACTTGCCACCAAATCTTTCGATCAACCTTAAGTATAGGATCTTTCAAATATCTAATCAAAGGAATTCTCCAAGCTATTTCTAACTCATGGGCACAAATGTCCGAATTCACAATTAATTCGGCCTTTTAATCAATTGTAACGTGCCCCCCAGCTCTCTGCCCGAGATCGGTCAGACCGGCCGTGCAATGCCGGTCAGACCGCCCTGTCTACCCGGTCAGACCGGCCATGCAGAGCCGGTCAGACCGCCGGTATCACCAGTCAGACCGGCCGTGCAATGCCGGTCAAACCGCCCCTGGTCTATGACTTTGTCAATTTCGTCCAAACCTTTGAAATCAAGCATCGGCCTTTAGCATATAATTTTTCTTCACATAATAGCCAGATGCTTGGTGTATCAAATTATTGGACCAAACTTTCTTCTTCCTAGACATATGAAAAATTATGACATCCAACTAATAGGTCTAGAATTCAAGTGGCTTTTGAGACAATAATCATCATGGCATCAAAACACTTAGCCAATTGAAGTATGATCAATAATGAATCACCAAAGTCATATGTGTCACATGTATAGATTCCAATAAACTAAAAATGTAAATAATCGGCTTGAGAATGTATGCAAAATATTAACAATGCCAATGTTCCTAAATACAATAACTCTAGAACAAATCATCACATTGACTATTGACATTAGCCGAATTACTAATAGGCAAAACTTTCATGGTGCAATAAATATGAAATATATATATTATATGGTGATCCATAAAAACACATATGATTTGGCTTTAAATAAATATCAAAGACTCATGAGGCAAATCATACTTCAAACAAATTATATGCCAACATACCAATTCCACTACCTAGAACTGGCATTTGCAACATGTATGCATAGTATCAATTTGATAAGCAAAAACACACATGTGCTAGATATCAAGCAATGTTCTAACATGGCATAGGCATATAATATAACGTTGAACACAATAAACCCATACCTTGCCTTAGCATCCAACAAACGGCGGCTCAAAGATGTGATGTTGTATCCATCGCCGTTCATCTTCTCTTGGTTCCCTTATGAGCATATTAATGTCTTGCCCCCCGAGCAAAATCGGCTTTCTAGATTGCACGATTTCGAAGGCAAGACGGATACCGCACTAACACCCATAGCATCATGTGAAGGAGACTTATCTCTAACGACCGATGATTCTTCTCTCATCAAATTGGATTTATCACTACTTTGGGAAATCACCGATCTCTTAACTTTTACTTCTTTAGGTCTCCACACTCGCTTAGGTGTTGTTCGAGGCTCTAAATTATTACATGTTTTGTTCTCTATATCTTCGGCCTCCTTTTCTTTTTTACCTATGGCCCGAAGACGTTGTAGTCTCCTCTTCTGAGAGCGAGATAAGCCAGAAGGTATCCACTTCGGCTGTGGTTGTTTTCCAGGAGCTAAGCAATGATTCTTCATATTTTTGGCTGAAGTGGAAACTCCTGCGTTGCTCTCATCTTTCTCACTCTTCTCCAATGCCCCCCCGGTCAAATCGGCCTCTGGGCCCGGTCAGACCGGCTACAAGCTGTCGGTCAGACCAGCCAGTAAGGTCGGTCAGACCGGCCGTAGACTGGCGGTTAGACCGGCCAGCTGTCTCGGTTAGACCCCCAATGTTGGCAGTCACGGCGTCGGCTTCGATCTCCTTTGCCTGCGTGGTTTCCACCGCATCTCTAGTAGGTACATGAACATCTTGAGATTCCTCTTTGGCAGCAACGACCTCCGGAGCTTTGGTTTCTTTCCTCACCCACACCTTCTTAAACTTTTTCACCTTTGATCCACCGGACCGATTCTTTTGTGGGAAACGGTCTTGTCTTGAATTAGATGAATGATTTGGCACTGTCCTAGGTGATTCCTCCCATCCTTGATGAAACAGCGTAGAGAATTGAGGCATCCATGGCATGTAATACATAAAAGGATAACCATATAGTGACATTGGATATGGATACCATGGCATCACAACTGGAGGTTTGTATGGAGTTGGTATGGTTGATGGCTCCGATTGCTTTGATGTTTGACCAAATCTCTTCCTACGAGATGATCTTGGTCTTTTTGAATCACTAGTTTGATTATCAACTCGTTGACCGGCTAATCCTTTCTTGTACTTAGCCATAAGCATCTCAAAAGTGAGCTTCGGCTTTTTGGTCTTTTGGGAACTAGATGACTCATCCTTTGCAACTTTACGATCTTCGGCCTTCGCATTTTTTATCCTATTCTTGGGCCGAGGATCCCCAATAATAACACTTTTCCCTTTCTTTTTGTCAACATCAATAGAACTAATAGGGAGAGGATCACTAACAATTCCGGTCTTAGGCATAGATGTAACCGAAATAGTTTCACAAGTTACCGATGAAGTATCAATCGGTCTTTGCTCCATTAAGCTTG